AGGGAGAGCACCGAGCCACTGGCTGGAATTTGGCTCCTGGGTCTTTGCCCAAACCTACTGATCTCGGTGCAAAGTTGACAAAGGGCCGAGGCAACCTCCCACCCAGAAAGAGCTCCTCCGAACACACCATCCGTTCCGCCCTGCAGTGCCCGCGCTTGCATCGAGGGAGAAACTACAGATCTGCAGAGACCGCCCAGAACAGCGGCCTACTGTCGGCTTCATCAAGAGATGAAGTCACTCAGCCAGCTACCAGGAAAATAAATGGCAGCAGCGTGGTACATAAGCAGCACCACGCCCGTTCCCAGTCTGCAGGGGACAGGGGAAGGGCCTTCAGAAGGACAGAAGAAGGTGCCTGTGGATGCTCTGATCGAAATGAGGTCCTGTGACAACAGGGACAGAGCCTGGCTTGCAGCGTGAGCTGCACAGGACAAAGACAACTGTGCTTCCTTGGCCTGCAGCCGGTCCCATCAGCCCCGGGACCCCCAGGCCTGGAACAATCTAGGGCAGTCATAGATAGAGAGCAGGGAGGAGTCCTGCCCTGCACCGAAACACTCGCAGGAACAGGAAAGGGAGGGCAGAAACAGAAACAGAGGGATGTACAAAGAGGTGTGATTGTAAGACATGATACTAATCACATTACCACACCGTCCTCTTCTCTCACAACATACTGGGCCACTTTAAAGGAGCTGAGATACTCGTTCATGTTCTGCAGCTCCGTATCATCAGTCGCATCCTGGTTTCGGTCCAGAAGCTTCGAGATGGCAGCATCGTCGTAGTGGATCACACTGCTGTCATCCACGTCCTTATTGTCACCTGGAAAGCAAAGCGAGGGGAATGGAAGTGCTCATCACCGTGCCGGAGACAGCCTGCTCCCAGAGCCAGGCAAGCTCAGGCTGGGCGCAGGGCCAGGGAAGGGGGACAGCTCGCCCCAACAAGGGGGGCCACACACCTGGTGGGGTGCCACCATGCTTTTTTTTAACACCGGGAGTCACTGTACCCCCTTTGGTTGACATCGTGTCAGAGAAAGGGGTGACAGCATCCGGCATGGCGATCCGCTGTCCCTGAGACACCATGCCTGCGGGCGAAAGAAGAGGAGAAGGAGCCCCAGCAGCTCAGACAGGGCCCCGCCTCGTGCAGAGCATCCCGAGCGCCTTCCCGACCTCACCTTCTACATCGTCCTTGAAGAGCTCCTCTGTCCCAAACTTGAGGATGTCGTCCAGCTCTTGCTTGGTCATGGAGCCTGACTTGGAGCCGAGCCCTGGGCGGACCACCAAGTGGGTGAGCATCATCTTCCTTTTGGCCACCTGGGTGATGCGCTCTTCCACGGAGGCTCTGGTCACAAAGCGGTAGATCATCACCTTCTTGTTCTGCCCAATGCGGTGAGCTCTGCTGAACGCCTGCGGGCAGAGAACGAAGCTGTCGAGGGCGGCACCGCACAACACCGGCCGAGGGGTCCGAGCTTCTCACTCGTCCAGGGTGCACAAAGGCACCGCGAGGGCAAGGCTGAACTCAGCATTCAGGCTGCTATGGGGCGGCGGAGCGAGAGGGGCTCCTCAGAGCCAAGCTGAATGTGCTGGCCCCCTCCGCTGACTGCAGGCGAGCCAGCTTGCCCGGGCAGGCCCCTGACTGAAGGGTCTGAAGGCAGGCAGCGAGGACATGTTCTCCCTAGGAACCCTCTGGCTGCGGATTCACCGCCACTCCTTCACCGCCCTGCGCCAGCACATCCTCTTCCCTAGGACCCAGGGCAAGGCACCACTGGCACAAACGGATGGCAGCAGTGGATGTCGCTTTGGAGAGGGCCTTCTCCCGGCCAGGGAGCGTGGGAGGGATACGCGTTTCTCTTCGCTTTTCCATTGCTTTCAGAGGCATTGGCTGCTCACCCGCTCCAGCTGCCATTTCCCGTGGGCGGTCAGTCCTTAGCTAGGGTCCGCCCCGGGCTTTTGGTAACACAAGTGGAAGCTCCCCAAAAGAGGAGGGGACGCCTGGTTGCAAACAAGCAGCAGGAGAAAGCAAGAAGCCCACAGAAGAGAGCCGGTTTTACGTGCCAGATCTCTCCCACGCCGCAGACAGGCCAGGGCGAGGCTGGTGGATGGAGGAAGGGGGCCCCTGAGCAGAAACATGCCCCATAAATCCTGCAGAAAGGGTCGGCAGCTCTCGAGAGAAGAGACCAACTTCCCTGTGCAGGGTGTGCAAACAGAGCCAGAGAGGTACTTACTATACGGGAAGGAAAAGGAAAAGTCAGAAACCTGGATGTCATTGTGGGGATTCCAGTCAGAATCATAAATAATGACTGTGTCGGCCGTAGCAAGGTTTATGCCCAGACCGCCGGCGCGGGTAGAGAGGAGAAAGCAGAACTGCTGAGCACCAGGAGCTGAGAAAGACAAACCCACAGGTGGCAAACGGTGAGACAGAAAGGAGCGCAGCTTACGCGGAAAGGCGCAGTACTGCGCTTTAGGTATAAAACAGTGGGAACCATCGGTCTAAGCCAACAAGCAACGGGCAGGGAAGGCAAGGAGTGAAAATACATCATTCCCTGGGAACCAGGTACTGGAGAAAATGCAGCTCCAGAGCTGAAGGGGAAGCTCTGCCGCCTACTGAGGCCTTGAAGGGAAATGCCGGGGTCCCTCGAACTAAGCAGCCTGCCGCTGGCACGCTCAGGGTTCATCGTGGGACACAACTCAAGGCCTTAATGATGCGGGACAAGCAGCCCGCGCCATGCCTCAGGAAGCCGGATCTGCCAGCGCAGCACAACCGACGCACAGGCAACCCCACGCCGCCTGTCCCGCGGGCAAGCAGGGGCTCTCGGGCACAGCCAGCCGACCCTGCTGCTGGCTGCGTGCTGCGAATCCGCCCCGCGCCCCCTCCTCAGCAAGGCAGAAACGTGAGTACCGTTAAACCTGTCTATGGCCTCCTGGCGCAGGCCGCCGGTGATGCCCCCATCTATCCGCTCGTACTTGTAGCCTTCGTACTCCAGGAAATCCTCCAGCAAGTCCAGCATCTTTGTCATCTGCAGGGCAAGGCGACCCTGGCAGGAGCGGCTCTGCACGGCCTGGCTCCCCACCTCCCCCGTGTCCACGGGACCTGCCCTGCCCTGGCCGGGCCCGTGCCCGCAGCCCAGAGGCCAAGGTGGCAGCGGTACCGCCAACGGCGGAGTACAGCCAGCAGGCAACTGCCAGAGGAGCGACACTCGCGTCTCGTCTTCTGGAGCCAGCTTTGCCAGCACAAGGGAACCGTGCCTGAACGGCCCTCCCTGAAGGGAGCACCATTGCTATTATCTCCTCTTTATCCATAGGTAAAAAGAGGTTTTAAGCATTACAAGGAGTCCCTCAGGAGAGAGCTGGGACACAGTCCCTCCATCGTGACTGCCACAGCTGCCACACTATCTGGGGGAGAAGCTGCCACCAGCTCTTTCACCTATCTCTATCTGTTCCTAGCACAAAATTCTCATACAGAACAAAAAAAATCCTTTAAAAACATATTTATTATTAATTCTTCCCTACTTTTTTTTTCCCTACACTCACCTGGGAAAAGATCAGAACTCTGTGACCCCCATCCCGTAATTTCTTCAGCATCTTTTGGAGCAGCATCAGTTTCCCAGAAGATTTGACCAAAGAATTCCCATCATAGGACCCATTGGGCAGAACCGGGGCCTCCTGTGAAGGCATCCTGGTTAGCCTCTTCAAGGACAACACTCGTTAATTCATGGAGACATTCACATGTGTTTCAAAGACAAAATCCTCGTATGAAACCACTTGCATGAAAACCCACACCATTAACCACAGCAAGACCACGGAAACAGCCCCCACCGACGGCTTACACACAATATTCTGAGAAACGTCTCCACGGTGCAAATACAGCTGACGTACCACCGCCGCCACGGGAAAGAGGTACGGGTGATTACAGCACTTCTTCAGGTCCATCATGATGTTGAGCAGTGAGACCTGGTTCCCACCACCTTTTGAATTCAGGGCTTCGAAATTCCTCGTCAGTATGAACTTGTAGTACTTCCTATAGGAACGGGGATGGGACAGACACCCTCATTAATTCAGCCAGATGTGGGACCGGTGTAAGCAGGACAGCACTGAATTACACTCCACTTGCGTCACTTCAAAAGAGATATTTGGACGTTTTTAAAAGCAATGGTTCAGCACCCTCAGGCCAGGGTTGGGTTGATTTCATTGCTCCAGGGACATCACAGCCCCCGTAAGTGGGACGGACGCGGGGGCACAGTGGCTAGGAACGCTCCTCGCTGGTGGGTATAAACCGACCCTTGCCGCACCATGCCAGGAAGCAGCGACATGCCCTTCCCTGCAAGTCCCCCCGTCTCGGCAGAAGATGCCGCTGAAGCTGAGCAAGTCAGCCCAAACCAAACGGAGCTGAGCAAGCATCCCCTGGGGCAGCAGTGATGCTCCAGACGGACACCAGGCAAGCTGGCAGCACAGGCTGGTGCCCCGGTGCTGAGAAGAGGAGGAGGAGAAGGGGGTTCAGCCTCAGTGCTTTCTCTGTGCCCCCCCAGAACTAGCAGAGCCACGCTGACAGCCTGCCACACATCAAATGCTTCCCGCCGAGCAGCCAGGACTGCACGGAGCCCAATTTAACCAGGCTGAATGCACTCCCCGGCGAGACAAAGCACTCCAGCTCTTCCCGCAGCAGGCCTGAGGACAGCAGGGTGTCTCTGACCTGTCGAACCCCACTGACGCCCCACTGTGCTGCAGATGAGGTGGGGCGAGGGAAGCCAGCCACCCCGGGGGAGCTGCACTGGAATTACTCACTTCTGCATCTGGCTCAGTTCCACTCTCACGATCAGCTCCGTCTTGGCTGGCATGTTCTTGAACACGTCTGCCTTGAGCCGCCGCAGCATGTGGGGACCCAGCAGATCATGGAGCTTTTTGATCTGGTCCTCCTTGGAGATGTCTGCAAACTCCTCCAGGAACCCCTCCAGGTTACTGTGAAAGCAGCCAGAACCACACAGTGCCAAGCGATAACGGGACACGCGAGAACAGAGATACCTGCTTCTTTATGACTTAAAAACAAGGGCAGAGCTCTCACACACGATGAAGTAATGCTCCTGTGCCTGTATCCGAGCAGAGCAAAAGCCAGAGCGAGGAGCCGCACTGATGGCTGAGGGGAAATTCGCACTGAATGCACTAATACAAGGTCTGAAGGAGTTCCCCAAAAGACCTCTGTCTCCTCGGACAGAGGGAAGAGAAGGCAGGTTTCAGTTCCTCACTCACAAGTCTCCTGACCGATAGCAAGGCAATAGCTACCGAGAAGACCCAAAAAGTAGTAGTCCACGGGAATAAATCTGGGGTTACATAAAATGTGCATGTAGCTGCTATGACAAACCACGGGGGCGATGCACTTTGCCATCTGCCTGCCAGCACAGACCAGTGACACTGGCACAGCAGTAACTGGATCCAGGCACCCCCACGCAGACAGGAGCCCCAGGAAACTGGAAAGCCTCTGCTGCACCACCCCGCCGGCCGGCAAGAGACCAGGTCCTGGCTGCTCTCCCTTTTCGGAGCGGGGAACTAGCGTGACTTACTTAAACCTCTCAGGAGTCAGGAAATTGAGCAGGTGGAAGAGCTCTTCCAAGTTGTTCTGGAGCGGAGTCCCAGTGAGCAGCAGCTTGTAATCGATCTTGTAGCTATTTAATACCCTAAAGAACTGGGAAAAGAAATGAGGTTAGGTGAAAAGAGCTCAGAGGAGCCGATCAGTCATCTGGGACTCTGCAGACTGCACACACGGAGACTCAGCAGTGAGCTCCCCCCCCGCCAGGCACGCAGAGCAGACCGCAGCTTGCATGTCCTGCTCTGAGCCATCCCCACCAAGCACAGGCAGCAATCCTGAACATCCTTGGGTCACACCACCTGCCTCCCCCCGCGCTGGGGATCGTGTCAAGGTCCCGGGGCCAGAGACCGCATTTAGCCTCAAGTAAAGGGGAGAGGAAGGAGAGGGATCGATTCCCTTCCACGACAGCCCATCAAAGGACCATCAGGCTGCCAGGCAGGCAGCAAGGCTGCCACCTCTTCCACTGCTGAAGGATTTTTAATGCCGGAGGATGTTAAGGAGAGCAAATCCACGGAAACGCAGGTCCCAGGCAGAGCCTGTGCGAGGTGAGGACACCTTTCGGCTCCCAGGAAGGAAAGCGTGGAGCAGCAGACTACCAGTGCTGGGGTGTCGTATCTTTGTGGCACCGGCCACACCACAAAAATCACTCAAAAACATCTGCTACCTACTTTGGACTGGTTGTTCTTCAGCCTGTGCGCTTCATCCACCACCAGACAGGCCCACTCTATGGAGCCCAGCACTGCCTGGTCAATAGTGATCAGCTCGTAGGAGGTGAGCAGCACATGGAACTTGATCTGGGCTTCCTTCTGGAGGAGCAGAGGGAGAGAAAAGCCTGGATAAGAGAGCAGGGAACAAGACAGCCTCCACCTTTGCTGCTGCCGCTGTACGTGACCCAAGGAGAAAAGGGGGGGCTGCCTGCACTGCACAACGCCAGGAGCAGGGCTGAGGCATGAGCCGTGCCAGCAGAAAATCTATTCCCATCTGAACGTTAGAACCAAGGAAGGGACTACAGAAACAGAAAAGGCTCTGGCAGAAATCTTTAAAGCTCATCACAAATCTCCTGCATTTGCAAACAGCGCCAGCTTCCCTCTTTGGAAAACACCTGATTAGGGACCTAACCAACCGCCTTCTCCAGGTCAAATTCTGCTCTCTCCCCTTCTTACTGACGGTTAAAGTACTGGGTAGGGCGCAGACTTATCTCCCACCTTCATCCGGAAGACCTTCTTTCCACTCCGGATGGCATTGTCTTCAAAAGAAAACTCATTTTCCCGGATGACCGACCGGCTTTCTTTGTCCCCCGTGTAGGTCACGACATAGAAGTCGGGTGCCCACATCTCAAACTCGCGCTCCCAGTTGATGATGGTGGAGAGAGGGGCGCTGACCAGATACGGCCCTTTCGAGTGGCCCTGCTCAGGGAGACAAAGTCCAAGCTGTTCTCCCCGTACCGAGCAGCTCTCAGCCACCTCGGGGACTGCCAGGTGCTCCACTCACCTCCTTGTACAGGGAATACAAGAACACAATAGTCTGCACAGTCTTCCCCAGCCCCATCTCGTCGGCCAGGATTGTATCCGTCCCTTGGGCCCAGGAAAATCTCAGCCAGTTTAGCCCTTCCAGCTGGTAAGGATGGAGCGTGCCTCCCGTGGCGTCGATGTACCACGGCTGCTTGTCAAACTTCACTGTAGGCTGAAAGAGAGAGACAGGACGCAAAGCAGTGAGAACCAACTCCCCGTCTGTTCTCTGTGGCCAAGCACATCCCTCTTTGGCCCTGTGACACCAAACAGCCCCAAAGCAGTGCAGAGGCGGTCCCCAGCCCAGCCCTCAGGCTCCTCACAGCAAAGCCACCCCGGAACTTTGAACGAAAAAAAACAGGAAGGAATTAGAGGAGAAAAACGTAACAGGATGGGGTGGCCAGACAGACCTCCCTCTCCCTGGGCTCACACAGCCTTGCGCTGCTCCCGCCATCCCTACTTACATCCACGAGAGGCGTTTCTGGAGGCTTTTCCAGCTTCTCCTCTTTCAGCTTTTTCCCTTTCTTGTTCAGCTTCTTCAGAGGGCGCGTGTCCTCCCCCAGCATCAGCTCCCTGCAACAGCCAGGGCGCATCAGGTAAAGGCAGGCAGGCATTCCTCCCCCAGTCCTCACGCCGAGGGACAGAAATGCCTCCCAGACTCCCCTGCCTCTTCCCCACGGGAGCTTTTCTGGCCCAGTTAGCATGGGCACTCATGGAGTGTTAATTTTCCCCTCCCAACAGTCCATGCAACACCATCCAAAATGAAGAATAGCAATCTCATCAGAGTACTGTGGTTTTCCCCCAAAACAGACAGGCAGCAGCACCATGGAGCTGCTCTGAAGCACAGTGAGACCATGAATATTCCGGCAGTATAAACGCAGGGGAAGGGGAGCACAGGCTGGAAAACAACAGGTAGGCAGGATTTCCCAGCAGCCCTGAAATGGCATTTCAGGAGGGCTAGCTTTCCAAACGTGCTCAGCCACTGCCTCTGGAGAGAGAGAGGTCCCTGTGAGCGGTGCCGGTATGCTCAAAAGGGGGACACCTACGAGTCCTCGGCCGTCCCAAAGGCCTGCGCAGGCGGCCCCGGCTCGGCCCGGCTCTCCCAGGCTGCAGCAGCCCAGCTGCAGTTCTGCCACCCGGCTGGCTTGTACCTGTGGTTCCAGTAGAGGTGTTTGAGGTTTTCGTAGTATGGGATGTCTATCTCGTCGATCTCCCAGGTGCACTGATCATACGGCAGGTCTTTCCACTTGATCAGGTAATGGATGTCTCCCTTTTTATCAAAGCTGTAACGCAGGGCACGGAAAGCCTATCAGTGACGTGACACTCAACCCCCGGGAAGCAGCCAGCCATAACCTGCTTCCACAAAACGGGATGCTTCATCCTCTGCTTTTACCTACAGACCACAACATCCAAGCAGAGGTAGAAAAACATAAAGAAAGTATCGACACTTGCCAGCAGAAATGCCTATTAATCTGCTGCGTGTGTTAAATCACCAAGCTTTAAAGGCTGCTCTTCCATTCCACTGAACGACCTTGTTTTCCTGTTTTACCAGGACTGGATGAATTCCAGCGCTCGCCCTCTTTCTCCTGCAGCATTCGCTGCCCTATGAAGTTTTGCTTACACTGAAAAATGAATAAACACACTACCGAGTCTGATTACATGCCTACAGGGAAAAAACCCTTCCCTTGTTAGCAGACAATGTAAAGCTCGCATGAAAACTCGCCAGGCAGCTTTATTTATTTTCTGCCAAGCAGCCTTCAAGCAGCGTTGCCGCTTAAAATTTCAAGTTGCCGCTTGAAACATAGAAACGCAACAAAAAGGTGCCTCTAGCCATTTGAAATAAAAAAAACTATCTGCACAGCACATTTCGTACGCAGGAAATTTTTTCCAGAGAAAAGAAACGCAAATGTCAAGGCACCGTAAGGGAGTCGGGCACCTGCTCAAGCTCCTCTCCCTGGGCACCGTCCCTGGCAGCATCAGGGGAGGTAAGCGGGAGTAACGTACCTCTCGGGTACGTGTAGTACACGCACCCCTGCTGGTGCCTCACCTTTGACGGGAGTGCAGAGGGGCTGCGTGGTTCCCGAGAGGAACAAATGACCTGCACGGAAACGGGCTGCTCTTCCAAAGCAGTTTAGGTGAGCGGCAGCCGCTGCAGGGCACAACTGATGGGAGCAAGACCCATCACGGGGTTGCAGCAGAAATTTATGGAATGATGAGGTTGTAACCGGGACCCAAACAATACGTCTGAGAAGAGCGGAACAACTCCGTGCATCCACCTTTGGGAAAATTTACTATGTCTCTATTTTTAACATGCAACGTAGCAGAAATGAAAATAAGGCAGGCATGGATTCACTTCTGGCCTTGCCTTCACCTCGGGAGCAAACCTCCAAGGCGACAGAGACCTCAAAACAAGCCAGCAGCTGAAATTCCACCAGCCCTAGATTTTGACTTTGCAGAAGGACAGCAAGAACCATCCCCTGCGGGGAGAACTCAGCCGAGCACCGAAATCCCGCAGCAGGCAGTCCCAGAGGCTCAGCTAACCACGTAAACCGTCCGCGCGAGAGCTGCACTGAAGGGAAAACCCACGGAGAGCACAGACCCGCTGCTCAAAGCTTCACCTGCAGAACTTGCAGGGGTCCTGGGGAGCGCAGCAGGGCTCACCCTTGCTGTTTCCCTCCCCGGCTTGCAACAGCATCGCTCAGCGCCAGCACTACCAGGGGCTCAGGCACCCTGGCACGCGCCTTTCCATGGCCCATTCACGTGCCCCTCCACACACAGCTCCTCACCTGTGGTTCAGAATGCGATGGATCATCATCCACTCAGGCTTGATGCCATAGCGGTAGAACCGCTCCTCCATCTTGGCGTACTGCGGGTCTTTGTTCTTCCGCTTCTCTCTCTGGCTGTCCTCGTCCCCGGAGCCGTAGTCGAAGGCTGGCGGCTCATCCATGTCGTTCTTCCGTTGGTAGTTGCGGTACATCACGGTGTGGTAGAGCTCCAGCTGCAGCGGGAAGGAGCCACACTCAGCCCGTGGGCAGTGGGGTAGCGGGCTGGGCAGGGGCACGATGACGACAACGACGATGATGACAACAACACGCTGGCTCACCTGCAGCTCCTTGACCCAGGAGCAGTGCCAGTAGGAGAGGCCTGCCCACTTCACGAAGAACTCGCGCTCCGGGATCCCCTCCAGCACCTTTGCGGGGGGAAGAGCCAGCTCCGCATCTGGGGTGGGCAGCACGGGTGGGAGCGGGGTGGCCGGCGGCTCTTTCCAGGCCCAGTGCAGGATGCGTTGGACTTTGCCCTTCAAGGGAGGGCACTGGGGATAAAAAAGCAAACAGGCAAGAGCGCAGAGTTTAAGGTGAGCCCATGTCAGGGGCCACGGGGAGGAGGGCAGACCTGGACGACAGAAGGGGTCTCGCAACACCGAGTGGACGGCAGCCATCCAGGCGTGGCAGGGAAGGCATGGCCAGGGCTCCAGGGAGCGTGCCAGCACAGCCTGTGCCGAAAGCTGCTGCCAGAGGGAAAGCCCAGGGCGGAGAGCAACCATGGATTCACCCCCAGCCGCAGGGCGCCAAGCGTGGCAAACCAGGTGACCTGAACGGTCCCAGACCCTGGCTGCATCCCTCTCACTCCGCAAACACCACCACCAGCCCTAGGTACAAGCAAAGCGCTGCCAGGCCCTGGGCAGAGCTATGCGTTTGCCGTTTCCAGTGGGACAGACAGAAAGGAGGTGGTGAGGCTGCGTGGGGCGGGCGCAGGCTGGCTGGCGCAGGCGTGCCCGAGAACTGCCCCTGACACTGCTGCACCCCTGCGGGGACGGGTCTTGTCACCGGATGAGAAAGGCACCTCTGCACAGGCCGTGCATCAAACGAGGCTTGACAACCCGTCTAAAAACCGGCAGGGAGGCTGCCAGCCAACAGTCCCCATGGGGAGACCACGCAGGCGGCAAAGCCATCTGGGGCCCTCGGGTGCACGCGGCTGGCAGCGATGCTCCTCCAGGGAGGGGGCTGTGGCAGAGGGCAGGACGCTGGCCCTGCGGCAGGGCACGGGGAGAGGGTGCGAGGGGCAGTGGTGGCCAGGAGACCCACTCCCGGGCCGGGCGGGTGCGGGGGCAGGGACGGGGCGAGGAATGCTGGTAACACTCACTGTACAGCGAGGGCAGAGCCATTCACCGTTTGGTATTTCCGGCAGCGGCGGGTTCAGGCAGTGGAGGTGGTAGGAGGACGGGCAGGTGTCGCAGCACAGCAGCTCCCCTCCATCCTTACAGACCCGACAGAACTCCATGTGGTCATCCTCCTCCTCCTCACCACCTTCCTCTTCTTCCTCCTCCTCCTCCTTCGGCTCCCACTGGATGCCCTCCTTCTCCTGGGGAAGCACAGCCAGTGTAATGCCGAGGGTTTCTGCCGGCCACCCGCCCACCCGCCTGCACCCACGGGGCCCCAACCCCACTCACGCAGTGGGGGCAGCTCCACTTGCCCTCGGGGGCCTTCTCCAGCTCAGGGTCCAGGCAGACGAGGTGGTAGGCGCGAGGACAGGTGTCGCAGAGGATGATCTCCCCTCCCTGCTGGCACACCTCGCAGTAGTCCTGGTGGTCTGTCTCGTACCCGTCCCCTTCTTCAACTGCAAGCAAGGGACAGGCACACAGTCAGAGGGACAGCAGAGCTGCCTGCTCTCCCGGGAGGGAACGGGACACTTGCTCCTCTACGATACAGCTAAGGAAATACGGAAAGCGTTTCGCCTTGGACCCCTCCTGTTACGTCCCCCTACCTCTCTGTCCCTCAGCACCACAGTTCATCTTTGCACACAGCATCATCTCACCTCTGTCTCTCTTTCTCTCTCCACACTGTATCATCCTTTGGTTCCTTCAGGCTCTCAATGGAGAATGCCAGAACCTGGAGAGGTTGCAAGGGAGGCCAGTCAGAGAAACCTCCCCAGGTACCAGCGCCACCAACTGCAAACGCACCATGCAAGGGTGACACGGCCGAGGAAGAGGAGGAGGACTCCTCTCCTGGGACTACTCTGCTCTTCCTGGGTGCTCACTGGCGCTGAGGCAGGAGCTCTCTCAATGGACGGGAAGAGGAAGGGAGGAACAAGGCCTTGCAAGCGCCGGAATGGCTCGCTTCAATTCCCAGCTCTGCCACAAACTCCCGGCGCAGCCCTCCGACCTTCCGCTCCTCCAGCACGCGGCAGGAGCTGCCTAGCTCCGACACGAGAGCCCTCGTACAGCAACAAGCCAGCAGAAGTGGTGCCCTTCACATGCAAGATGTGGAGCCAGCCGGCCAGCCCTGCCTCACTGACCGACGGGGAGGCTGGCCAGCATCACACCCTAACCATCCCCCAGCCCAGAAGCTGCCCTTCCATTTCTCAGCAGCGAAAACCCGTCGGCAAAGCTAAGAATCCAAAGGAGGCGCCTGGATCTGCAGCATCTCACCCCAAATGAGGACACAAGGTAGAAAAGCAGCGCGTGTCCTGCAGCGGCGTGGGAAGCCGGGCAGGGTGGCACCGGGCCCCGCCACCCCCTGGCAGTGCTCGGAGCTGGAGCAGGGCTTGGGCGGCTCGGCGCTGGGGGCTGCTCGCAATGGCAGCGCGGGGAGGGAGGTGCCATCGCACAGAATCCACCCGCAGCCCTCCACGAGGAACGGGGTGAAGGAATACACACACAAACGTGGCCACACAGCCACTGGGAGACCCCAACAGATGCTTTCCACCGCTGTTCGCGTGCCTCCCTCTTCCTACATTGCTACCACAGATCTACCGCCTGCCCGCTGCCTGATCGCACGTTTCACGCAGACAAAAAGTCCCTTGTCTTAACGCTTTCTCACCCGCAGCCTGCCCTACTCTACTGGGAGCTTGCCACAGCCATGTCTCTCCAGGAGCTGCTCCTCAGAAAATCACTTCCCTGGAAGCCCCACAAATTCTGGGGCTTTGCTGCTATAGGACAAATCCTGGTGGGATCACACGTGCAGGCAGGGTGTCAGCTGCCCACGCTGCCCATGGCACACCCCGGCGCCCAAAGTGTGGGCAGGGGGCTCAGCTGCCCTGGGTGGCTGGGGCTGCAGGCAGGCAGCGAGACGGGGTAGGCGGGCTTTGCGAGCTGCAGCACCGCGGCAGGGCAGAGCACCGCAGCAGGGCAGAGCACCACAACCACGGCTCTCCTGAAGCAGCTCCAAGTGGTGACATGGAGCTGGCTCAAGGGGAGATGAGCTCCAGGCAGTGGCTGATGGCTGGAGAGAGGCCCGGAGGGAAAGCTGACTGCAGATCGACAGAAAAGCCCTGCCGCCGGGCTGCTCTGCCGCCACCAGCACTGTGGGGGTGAGCCGGTGCCCCGCAGCAGGATTTGCTCGCTGCCTTCTTGCAGGCACGAGCCCACCAGCAGCAGAGCTTGGACACCAAGCACCTTGCACTCCACACACACAGACAAGCACAAACACATCCTCTCCCACCGAGCCAGCACTAGGCACAGCCTGGAGCTGCCAAGGTCAAGAAAGCACCATCTGGAGAAGGAAATCCAAACAGAACAGGAACAGAGTACAAAGGATGGCCTACTCCTCTTTTTCTTTCTCCTCCTCTTCCCTCTCTTCCCCAGGCCAGCCGAGCACTCGGAGCGGACTGAGGAGCTGTTGATGCTGGCACTGTCGAAGTCGGATTCCTCCCGTTCCTCCTCTTCGCTCTGCAGAGGGGAAAACCAAAGCACACACAGTCCAAGCGCTGGCATCCCAGTGGTCACTCCCAGCGAACGCCACTCTGCAACGGAACAAACCCCCAAAGACCCACGTAAACCCCTGTGGGATCATCAACGAGCCGCTGAGCTCCTCGGGGCACCCTCCCTTCCGCATGAATCGACTAGACAGAGCAGCAGGGACGGTGGCAGGGCGAGCCCGCTCCCGGCGCCACCAGACGGGGTTCACAGGAGTGTGTCACACCGCACTAGGAAGCAGGGAAATCTCCTCTGTCAGACTGATGTCCCAGCCAGGCAATCCATCAGTGTAGATCTGGACCATCACTAGAGCCTGAAGGCAATTACCTTGCACTGCTCGGCCCAGCGGCAGCTTGTCCAGTTCACAGCACCATCAAAGTGCAATCACTGAGCAAATCTCAGAGCACATCTGAAATACGTAAATCAACATGCCAAGTCCCTGACAAGAGGCGGGCTCTGGGCTTCCCCTGCAGCCTGCCGTCCCCGCTAGCACAGAGCGCGGCGGTATCACCCGGTGCAGCTGGCCAGGCACGCTGGAAAAGGCTCAACGTCTCGCAGGCATCGGGCATCGGCCAGCTGCAACACCCCGCTGCGGTGACAATGTTATCGTGGGCGCAGACACCCGAAACAGAGACACACGGCAGGACGACCCCCTGCTCCCACTCCTGGGCAGTCGGGGGCCCCCTTCTCCACTGCCTGGCAGAGCTTTGCTCCCTCTCTCTCAACACCCATTTCAGCTTGTGTCAGCCTGTTTGTGTGCGTGCACACAGGCGTTCACGCTTGACCTTCCTTATGACATAAAGGAGTTAAACAGAGCCAGCATTCAATGGCATCAAAATATAACACCACATCTGAATTCCTATTCTGAAGATTTATGCATGCAAATCCCCGATTTGCATGCTATTAGTCAGTGCTTAGCGCTGCAGCTGCAGGAGCAAGGCGAAGCTCTCTGTAACTTTCCGACATGCGAATGCCCAGATCTAGAGTGCACCTGGAGACAGGATGAATCTTCTGCGATGCGGCTGAAAAAACGCAGCAGCGAGTGGCTGCCTCGGATCGCTCCTTTCGCTTCAACCTCTGACGCACAAAGTTATTTACAACTTGTTACGTGAACTAAAGCTAGAGAGTCAGTGAGCTCCAACTAGGGTGAACCAATGGGGTTTTGATCAGTATTATCAAGACCTACAAGAGTTCCACCCCTATTCAACACTTCAGAGATTTATTCTTTAAAATGCTCTGCTATTCTTTAAAATGCACCTGATATTCACGTGCTGACAAGAGCACGGCACACGAACTGCAGCAGAGCCCTGTTGCCACACTCTTACTGGGCAGCTCTGGTAGCCCTGGGCTATGCTGCGGGGCCCCAGATGGCAGGAGGCAGGCTATGCTAACGTAATTAAAGCATTCAGTAATTCTCTCTGATGTACGGTTCAGCTGGAGTGCAAGCCCTGAAGAATTCCTTCGCAAATTAAATCGGAAATGATGGCATTACCAACCTCACCACTGAAAGTAAACGTGATTATATGATTTTAGCAGAAATCATGCCCAGGCACAACATCTTTACAGACCTGAGCCTGGACACAGCTCTCTATCAAGGGGATGAACGAACGTGCCGACTGGAGACTGGCGCCTCGCAGAGGGGCACGAGCGAGGCTGGACGCCAGCGAGGCTGGACACCCCTACAGGAGGGAGGCTGCTAGGGGAGGGCATTTCCCTGCCGCGCCCCCGCACCCAAGGCCCCGTGCAGAAAAAGGCATGCACACTTACAGAGGAGCCCTTTTTCCTTTTGCTGGGGATTCCTCCAAATCGGAATTTCAAGCCTGCCATCTTTTTCCCCTTCCCCTTTTTCTTCCCGTCTTTGGAGCCCTTGATTTTCTTCCGCACACCTGGTCCTGGAGAAACAGAAGACTTGTTTGGTACTCTGCAAACAGCTGTCCCCCAAATCACCCCCACCGCAACCCCACGATTGATGAGAGCACTGGGGGCCATGGGGAGCAGGGCAGCAGCTAGAACCATCCACAGAGCACGGCCTTTGGGGCAAAAGGCTGCAAGCCCAGACCCAGCACTTGCCAAGAATCAGGGGAGGAAAGGGTCTGCCCTGGGATCCAGGAGAGGGAGGGCAGCCCAGGGACCACAGGGCTGCGAATACCAAATCGGGACTTTGGGGTCTGCAAGGCAGGGAGAAAAGAGACGGCCACGGCGAGGCAGGAACGCGCACTGAGCCCACTGCACGGGAAGGCTGCTGCAAGCTGCGCTCTTGGTCAGCTGCCAGCTCTGAGCCGCTCGCTCAAAACCTCTCGAGGCATCAGGAATTGACAACTGCACAAGTGGAACAGCAACCTTCCCGAGGAGGAACATGGCGCTAACAAAGGGAGATCCCTCCCTTTCCCACTACTGCCCAGCTTCTGCAGTGATTCTCACAGCCCTTTCCAAGCGTGGGGAAAGCAGCACCAACCTGCCGTCAGAAACAGGGAAATGCTGACAGCAGAAGACCCTTTCAATACAAATCAGACTATTTCCAGAGGAGCTACTTCAGATTTATATGGTTGGCTCACTCCTTGCAAGTGGGCTTTGAAGACAGACACCTTTCACCCAACTGTCAGAAGAAATCCTTTATTCTGAAAAAGAGCTGCAGCCTTACTGCCAGTGCCTTTCATCACTGAACTCCTTACCATCTCAGAGACAAAGCACCCGGCTCAACTGCCAAACAGTGCACGTTCATCTGGCCAGACCATACCTGCCTTCCTAACCTACAAATCCTCTTCAGCTTGGACACTGGACTCTGAGGATCGTGCTGGTTTCTGGAGGGCTTTACAACCCTGCAGAATCCCCCATGATAGAAGATGGCACAGAAATACATGACCCAATCACTTATTTAAGATAAAAGAATGAAAGTAAGCATTCACTGCCACGAACTGCCAGAAGTCCAGAAGGTCCAGAGGCTGCCAGGGTGATCTGCCATGGTTCACAAACCACAGCCCCCTCTAGGACTTCTGTGAGGGAAACGGGAGCTGCAGACACACCTCTGGCGCTACCTTCGCTTGCCCAGTTTGTTGAAGCATGTCTCCTGCCTGGAGAAGCTTTCCCGCCTTTGCCAGCCTACAGATGTGGCTGGGTAGCTCCGCCGGGCCCGCCCGGGGGGGC